AGGAAGGAAGGAAGGAAGGAAGGAAGGAAGGAAGGAAGGAAGGAAGGAAGGACCGAAGAAAGGGAGGGAGGGAGGAAAGGAGGGAGGGAGGGAGGGAGGGAAGAAGGAAGGCAAGCAGGCAGGCAGGCAGGCAGGCAGGCCACTCTTTCAGATGGCCTTCTCCTCTTTGGAAATGTAGTAAGCTAAGCAATGAAGGAACAGAGTTGCTCATTTGGGTATCTGGTAGATTACCTGGGTCTTTTTTTTTTTTTTTTGAACCATAATCTATTGACCCAGTAGCATGACAAATTTGGGGCCCTGCAATCTCCTCCAGACTTTGGGAGTTGGCATAGAAGAGAATGGGTTTTCAAAGGATCTGAAGAAAATTAATTATAACAGAAGTGTCCAGGAAGTGAACAGAGAGTCAGGTACTCCTAACAACTGTATGCATTGAAACAGTTGCCATATGGTGGTTAAAACGAAGCCATAGCTGGTGCGCAATAGACTGTTTGTGACGACTGGTCTCCGTTTAGGTGGACAGCTGGGCCATCTAAGACCTAACAAACTCTCAGAAAGAAATTTCTTTGGTAGCTAACATGGCTTCATCATATTCTACTCATCCACACAACAAATATCCTAAGTAGCAAGTCAGTCATGAAATGCCACGGCTCCGTCATTCTCAGACACAATCTGAAATGTAAAAGGATCCTGATAAATTTAAGTATTTTTCTTACCCATAGAGCGTTAAATCAAGTTTCATTCCCAAGCGCTGCATATCAGCTGAATGAATTACTAATTTTTGGAGAATTTGGGGGAGGTTGCAATCCATAAATTGTTAAGCTTACTGGATAAAAGTTGTGGTTTGGGCATGCCAAAAGGCCATTGAACTGTGCAGTAGAAATGTGTTAGCTATACCAAGTGTATTTCACATCTGGTTTTGTCTACTGTGGTATCTGCAAAGTTGCACTGAAAAATATTATCTTGCTTTAGCATGGGGCATTCCTCTTTAACGGAAGCTATGTATGTCAAGATGCCTAGATCAAGTCATACTAACTGCCTTCTCTTTGCTGTGCTAATACTGACAAGCTCTCCTTTCTTTGTGAACCTTTTAACTTCTCCAAATGTCTCTCTCCTGCCATGCTGCTCTGGATTGAAAGGTGGGGACGATAGCAAAATGTGTTCATCCCTTTGCAGTTACTCGGGGCTCAATGGCGCCCCCTCTAGTGAGTTAGAGTACTGTAGCGCTTATAGACAGCATTTGGATGTTCCCCGGGACTCTCAAAGGGCCATCACCTTCAAGAATGGCTGGCAAATGGCCCGGCAAAATGCAGAGATCTGGAGCAGCACGGAAGAGACCGTGTCCCCCAAAATCAAATCGCGTAGCTGTGATGATCTCCTGAATGACGACTGCGACAGCTTCCCAGACCCTAAAGCCAAGTCAGAAAGTATGGGTTCTCTATTATGTGAGGAAGACTCCAAAGAGAGCTGCCCCATGGCGTGGACTTCCCCCTACATCCAGGAAGTGTGCGTTAACAGCAGATCCAGAATCAAACACAGGTCAGCCCATAATGCCCCGGGCTTCCTCAAAATGTACAAGAAGATGCATCGCATCAACCGCAAGGATTTGATGAATTCGGAGGTAATTTGCTCCGTGAAGTCCAGGATACTGCAGTACGAAAACGAACAGCAACATAGGGGTCTGCTCCATGGTTGGAGCCAGTCTTCCACCGAGGAGGTGCCCAGGGACATGGTACCCACCCGCATTTCGGAATTCGAAAAGCTGATACAGAAGTCCAAATCCATGCCCAATCTAGGGGATGAGATGTTGTCTCCCATAACCCTAGAACCCCAACAAAATGGCCTGTGTCCCAAGAGACGATTTTCTATTGAGTCTCTGCTGGAAGAAGAAACTCAGGGTAGACAGCCTTCTCAGGGTCAGCGAAACTGCAAGTCTAAAACCCTGGTGCCCATCCACATCGAAGTCACCAGCGACGAGCAACCCAGAGCTCATATAGAGTTTTCCGACAGTGACCAAGATGGAGTTGTGTCTGACCACAGCGACTACATTCACGTAGAAGGGTCATCCTTTTGCAGCGAAAGCGATTTCGACCATTACTCCTTCACGTCCTCCGAAAGCTTCTATGGATCCAGCCATCACCACCACCACCATCACCACCACCATCACCGGCACCTCATCAGCTCCTGCAAAGGCCGATGTCCAGCCTCGTACACTCGGTTTACCACGATGCTAAAACATGAAAGAGCTAAGCATGAAAACCTGGACCAACCCAGGAGGCAAGAATTGGACCCCGGCCTGTCGAAACTTGCATTTCTAGTCAGCCCCGTGCCTTTCCGAAGGAAAAAGAATTTGACTCCCAAAAAACAGACTGAACAGGCAAAATGCAAAGCCTCCGTAGTCGAGGCTCTGGACTCTGCCCTTAAGGACATCTGTGACCAAATAAAGGCTGAAAAAAGGAGGGGGAGCCTGCCGGACAACAGTATATTGCATAGGCTTATCAGCGAGCTGTTGCCAGAGATCCCGGAGAGGAATTCATCCCTTAACGCTCTGAAAAGGAGCCCTGTGCACCAGCCTTTCCACCCACTGCCTCAAGATGGTGCTATTCATTGCCCACTGTACCAAAACGACTGTGGGAGGATGCCTCACAGTGCCTCTTTCCCAGATGTGGACACGACCCACAACAGCTACCATGCCCAGGATTATGGTAGTGAGCTGAGTTTCCGAGGTGGATGAACCTTTCTTTCTTTTCTCTTGTGGTTCAGCGACCATCCTTCCACTCACTCGTTCATATTTTTTTCCCATCCTGCATCTCATCGCTCATGAGCTGTGAGACCGTGTGACGTCATTACGTGTTACAGGGCAAACCTGTGTTGTGCAGACGTGTCTGCCTTGGTAGGACTCATTTGCCTGTGTGGTGTTTGACGTTCATGGGTGGACTGAATGTAATCATCAATTCATAAGCATTTGCTCACTTCAAAGTAAAAGAAACCCCAATTTGTCCCTTAATATTAGGGTTAAAACAGGTAGGACATTGGGAGGGCAAGTGGAATGCTGCATTGCGGCTCCACATCATTAGTGCCTATGTTTATTTGTGCTGATGCTGTGCAGTGCGCTCCACAAACAGGGGATGAGGATGTTCAGATAAAGGCTTGTCAGAATCCAATTCTCTGACAAAATAGGCATTTTCTTCAGTTATCTAATAACCTGACTTAATCACTTAAATTCAAAAGAATATTTCAGGACAAAACTATAGCTCAATATCTGTGTCCCCAAGATACCTTTTGATTCATTATGAACCAAAGTCAGTAGCTTCAGAGCCTCTTCCTTGATTTCCGTATTAATGTTAGAACAGTCGTAGCTGTTCACTCAAAGAAATCTGTCCCCACTCAACCTATATAGAAGATCCGATAGATAGATAGATAGATAGATAGATAGATAGATAGATAGATAGATAGATAGGCAGACGGATAGTGGATAGATAGACAGGCAGACAGACAAACAAACGGATAGATTGACAGAGAGGACTTTAGCTAGAAACATCATCTAATTGAGGCTCCCATAAGTCAAAGGATGGGTATTGTAAGTACTGTTTAACAGTTAAGGAACTGAGGAACAAAGGGGATAAAACTTCTTGGTGTTACACAGATTACAGTGACGGCAAGAGAATTTAAAGCCCTATTAACTAAAAATGTATAATAAAAATATAATTTCTAAGAGCAAAAAGAATTAATTGCTAATAACTACTGGGCTTTTTACTTATTAGCATTTGCCTTCACTTTAATTTACTGTACAACATGCTGGGAAACAGTAAATTAGAATAAGTAGGGGCTGGAGAAATGGCTCAGTGGTTAGGAGTCCTTGCTCCTTCCTCTTCCAGAGCACCTAGGTTCCCGTCCCAGTATGCACCTGGCAGCCCACAGCTGTCTATTACTCCAATCCCGCAGATTCTAACGCCTGGCCTCCAAGGACACTGGACACAAATGGTGCAGTCCCAGTGTGCACACGACAGCTCACAACCGTCTATTACTCCAATCCCGCGGATTCTAATGACTCTTCTGTCCTCCAAGGACACTGACACAAATGGTACACAGACAACATGCAGACAAAAATGCCATACACACAAAAATATATATAATATAAAAAGGTTAGAGTGAGAAATATAATAATAGCATAATAATACAATAATTTAATTTATTTATAAATAGAATAATACATTTTAAATTCAATAAGTTAGTTAAATTTGTAATCAGTTTTCATTTAGACTACAACAGGTTTCATCCATTTTAACTACATTTTTCAATTTTCCAATACCCTGAACTAAGCATGGTACATTATCACATGAGTCTGAAACACTGAAAAAATTATACTGCACATAAATAAAATTTATCTTAATGATTACACTATTTAACATATTTAAATTAATTTGTTAAAGTGAATAAATAGTTTTTAAACTTGGACCCAGGTACACAGGTAAAATTATGTGATGTTGCCAGAATATAGACACCTTCAGTTACAGTCCACATTCAAGTCACACAGCTATGCCAGGCCTAAGAAACTGAGAGGGATAGTTGCAGTCATAATTTTCCAATGTAATTATTTATACTTTGTTTTAATGTGAATAAGACCTCAATATTTCATAAGCAATTTGGCAACTTCATAGGAGGCTTTCTGGTTATCGTTTTGCTTTCTGAAATAACTTACTTTCTGATTAGCTAAACATTCTTGTACAAGGGAAAACTATAAAGGATAGGAAATCATATGACCCAATAGGTACCTCCAAACAAAAACACACACATGCACACACACACACACATGCACACATACAGAGAGAGGCGTGGGGGAATGTGACCATCATCCTGTTATGCTCACACTTGATCTTTCATTTCATCATTACTTCTTAAATTATATTTGATAGAATGTTTGTTTATACAAATGTGTTATTTTTAAATTTTATATGTATATATCTTATGATAATAGTTATATACTGGAACCAAAAGGAATAGAAATAGTAAGCATGATAAATTTGGAGTACAAAAGTCCCTACAGCTATGAACCATCTATACCAAGAATTGCAGTATAATTAATTAGCTATATAGTAATATTTTATATATGATTCTAATACTTCTATTCTTTGTGTATTTTTTATTTTCAATGTCTATGTGTGTCTTATATCATTACTTTACAATGAGTTATGAGTTTTACATCCATTTTCTCACTAGAGACATCTCTCCAAATTTGGGGGGTAAAATAATTGCCACCAAGGAAAAGTGGCTACCTAGTCTCCTTTCAATGAAATGAGATCTCATTCTGGTTCACCTTATCATTTCCAACAGACCATGAGTCCCCTAGAAGTTACTCATCTACTTTGACTGACCTGGGAAGAAGTGTATCACGGGAACGAAGAGGAACTCCAGAAAAAGAGGTAGCTTAACAGAATTGGGGGTGTTTTTAAAGGACCTTCCGAGAAAGCACTTACCAGCCAAATGTGTGTCTCAGACCAGTAAAGAATTCAGACTGACACTTGACAGCAACAAGAAGAGTCTAGAAGCAGCTCTGCTCAGAGCCTCAGTCTAGGCTCCAGTTGCTCCCAACTTGGGGTGCACTTTGGGCAACGAGGCCTTTCTGAATCTTGGCCTAATAGCCATGAACTGATAGAATTCTAATTAGCCTGCTTACGTAGGGAAGGGAGTTTCTACACAAGTACTTTTTTGGAGAAGACCACCTGGTCCATCACCTTAAGCCAGAGCTGGACCACCTCTTCCTAACTGCCTTGGAAGCCATGAGGGTAATGGAAATTAAAAACTGAGCTCCGGCTGACAGGTGTCTGAGATAGCCTGTGGAACCCCTAGACCCTGATGAAGATATAAATTACCCAAGTCTCTTGAAGCTCACTAGAATCACAAGGGGAGAAAAATGGGGTAAAGGAATTGCTGGTTGGTGGGAAGGGAAGAGCTGATATCACTAACTGCATGGTATGTTGTGCCTCGAATAGATCTGTGGGCCCCAGAGTTTGAGGGTAGGCATGGGTATACCTTCATAACTAAAAGATAAGCCCCCAAATTCCTGCACCCTCCATTGCTCTATTTTTGGCTAACTAATCTCTTGACGAGTGGGCTACTACTTCTTGGCTCATCAGGACTTAGTGAAGAATATGATAACTCCTTTTGCGGCTTCCATTTTACGATGATTCAGACAGACTAGTGTCAACCCATAGAGGCCAGAGCTGCTAGTCCTCCACAAATGATCTGTTTGTGATGTTCAGAAATGGCATCCCTAGGACGAGTCCCTGGTGGGCCTTTTTATCATATTGTGGCATTAATCCGCTTGGGTTCCTGAAATGAAGCCTAGTGAAGACATCAGCTCCCATATCCCAATTTCGCTCTCTAGTCTAAAGGCAGCAGTAACTGATACATTTGTAACTTGACCATGTCACTTACGTTATATGTGCTTTATTGTTCTTAAAATGCAATCTAAAATGGTTAAATTAGTGCTAAACGTTAACCTTTCCTTTCAGAAACTGCCTGCAAAAGCTGTCTATGATTTCAAAGCTCAGACATCTAAGTAAGTGAAATAAAAACTCACTATGTGATTGAGCTTCACTCTTACTATTGTAGGGAGGTATGTATGTGTGCATGAGTGGGCACACCCGTGTGTGTGTGTGTGTGTGTGTGTGTGTGTGTGTGTGTGTGTGTGT